GAGGAGGTGGGCTGGCCAGCCAAACAGAAGCCTCTAGGATTTTAAAACAAAGCTGTCCTGCTTAAAACCAACTGTTCCTAGACAGACTGAAGCTGAGGGTGGAGGGAAAGGGACAAAGAAGAGGAACATAGCATTTGGGTGTCTGGTTTGAATTCTAGCTCTGCCAATTACTTGCTACTATCCTGGCCCTGTTCCCTCCCAAGCCTCGGTTTCCTCTCTGTAAAATGTGGATCACATCATCATCTGCCTTTTATAATGTTAATTAAAGATTACAGGAGGTAATAGCTACAAAGATGAGCACAGTACTGAGCACAAGAAAATGCTCAGTAAATATTAATGTCATCATTATATAGCTGACAACACAGGATCCACTTATATGCAATTTTTTCAATAAACACATAGGAAAATTCCTGGAGATCTGTGAAAAACTCACAGATGAACTGCCACCCCTGAAACAGCAAGACCAACACCTTCACTTTCTCTACTTCCTCAACCTACTCAACATGAAGACAACAAGGATGAAGACCTTTAAGATGATCCACTTCCCTTTAATGAAGAGTAAACAGATTGTCTCCTCCTTACAATTTTCTTAATAGTACTTCTTCTCTAGCTTACTCTGTTGTAAGAATACAGTATATAATACATACAACATACAAAATATGTGTTAATTGACTACGTTATCAGTAAGGCTTCCAGTCAACACTATGCTCTTAGTTGTTTTGCGGGAGTTAAAAGTATTACTTGAATTTGCAATTACGTAGTGTATCAGTGCTCCTAATTCCCATGCTGTTTAAAGGCCAACTGTATCACTGCACAGGTAAGTTTGCACACAGCTCAAAAGGTACACTGCCACGGGTCAGTATGACCCGTATCCCCAGTTACGGGGCTTTCTTCAACATAAAGGGGGCTAGAAATTTGCAAATCCATTAATATGGATACCACTCTATGTCTTCATCCACGTAACACAAATTTAAACCAATGCCTAAGTGGTGACTTTCCTACACTAATAATTATATTACTCGATATTCTTATTCTAAACATAAATAAGAGCTGAGACATGTATTATTTAACAAATATGCTATTTTAATGTTATGACCCCTGAGAATAAAATGATTTACACATAGGGCACAATATCACATCATTCCCTTTACAACTCTGTGTTCTTTAAACTTACCTTGCAACTTGTGTCCATTCTTCATACAGATTAAAAGTCATCAAAGGTTCAGGCAATTCCCGTAAATAGGATTTTAAAGCACCTGAAATCATTAACACTCTCTTTGAGTATGAAAAAGGAGTAAGGCTAAGAATCTTGGGACATATTATTTTGCAGATCGAAATGATCTCAATTACAATCTTCCAAGGTGTATACAACAAATCGTTAAGTTGGCAAGAGTGGTTAGAGACTAAAATGTTCATAAAACAAATCCAATCTCTTGCAAAAACAAAGTTTTAAGAGATTAATTACCAATAAATTTAGTTTTAAAGTCATTCCCTTAATAGACATAATTTCTCTGGGTAGATATGAATTTGGTGGGGGGAGACTGTGAAAGATGGGAAGAAAATACAAGTATGTCTCCAAATACTTGCATTATAAGCTACTTCCTCCTTTAATCATCAAGAAAATAGAAAAACAAAAAGGAGTAAAGAAGACACATGTGAACATTACATTAATATACACTAAGGAATTGTAGCAAGAGGCCACTTCGGTTTTGTCGCTTAAACCTATAATTGAAATGGGATTTTAACTGACCATCTGAGACAGAACCCGCCCACTGCCTTGAGGGTGACTTGATTTGCAGACAGTCTTTGGCGCTCACCTGCTACAGCATGGGGGTCTGAATAGAACTCATCCAGGTGAGAAGTAGAACAGTCCAAAGCAGCTTTCAGCTTCTTTAACTTGGAGGCCCCAGCCCCGATTCGGAAAAGGCCCTAAAGATAATGAAAAGCCATCAGCATCAAGAGCAGGTTGGGAGACTCAGACTAAGCGGCAGTGTGTTCTGATGGGGATTTCCCGACTTCTGCTCAGCTCTTATCTAAGACGGCAGTGTTACTGCCTGCCCCGCAGGGCTGTCAGGAGGAATGACGAGGGCCGAGCATGTACCCAAGCACAGGGACAGGCAGGAAGAAAATTAATCTAGGCAGGATTTCTTGACCTCAGCACTACAGACATTTTCGGCTGGATTACTTTTTGTTGGAGGTTGTCCTGTGCCCTGTAGGATGTTTAGCAGCATCCATGGTGATACGGTTTGGCTCTGCGTCCCCACCCAAATCTCATGTGGAATTATGATCTCCAGTGTTGAAGGCAGGGCCTGGTGGGAGGTGACTGGATCATGGGGGTGGATTTCCCCTTTGCTGTTCTTGTGATAGTGAGTGAGCTCTCACAAGATCTGGTTGTTTGAAAGTGTGTGGCAACTCCCCCTTTGCACGCGTGCTCGCTCTCTCCCTCCTGCTCCACCACGTCAACACTGTGCCTGCTTCCCCTTCGCCTGCCGCCATGACTGTAAGTTTCCTGAGGCCTCCCCAGCCATGCTTCCTGTATAGCCTGTGGAACTGTGAGTCAGTTAAAGCCCTTTTCATCATAAATTATCCAGTCTCAGGTAGTCCTTTATAGCAGTGTGAGAATGGACGAATACACATGGCCTCTATCTACTACGAGATGACAGTAACACCTCCTCTTCTCAGTTGTCATGATCAAAAATATCTCCAGACCTTGATAAATGTCTCTTTGGGAGCAAATCTGCCCCCGGACAAGAAGCACCAACCTAGGCTGTCAGAAGGGGAGTGGCTGGAAGCAAACACAAGGAGGGCTTCCGGGGTGTTCTTTGATCTGAGTGCCGATTCCGTGGGTGGGTTTAGTCATGCAAGCGCATCAAACTGAGCACTTATGATATGTATGCTTTTCTGTGTGTATGTTCTATTTCAACACAAAGTTTTAAAAAGGGGGAAAAAAAGTCTTGCATTTTGATTCTGGCTCTGACCTGGTTTAAACTCCCTGCATGCTGACTTCCTTATTTATACAAGAAGAGTAACAAAAACTCCCTTATTTGGTTCATGGGGGGTTTGGGGTAAGAATCCCGTAAAATTAAGTATGTAAATGATCCCCACCCAAAAAAACTGCATAATACTATGCAAACTAAAGCTCATTAGCCCATTGTAGTGCGTCACGAAATCTACTGTCACAAATCACAACCAGAGTTTTAAATGAAACAATCAAACAGGACACAAAGAGGTCAGGGTGTACCACAAGCAGGAAAGATAAATATTGTTCTGTAAAACCTTTGTTTCATTCACAGACAGATAGGTATCATAAGGACCAGGATTGCAATTTAAAATATGGATCATGGTGACAAAAGCTTGAAAGCACTGTTCTACACAAAACAGACAATGGCTGTATAACTAAGGGAGGGGGCGGACAGGGGGCTAGTGGAGAGCATGGTGCTCTGGGCAGAAAAAGGGGCACGGAGACGGTGCACAGGATCACGAAGCTCCCCTCACCTCCTCCTTCATGCCTGTCTCCAGGAGCAGCATGACACAGGCTTCAATGGGCAGCGCAATCTCGCGCCCGCTCCTCTTCAGGTGTTCTTCCAGGGGAGTCCCAAAGGCTGGTTTTTCCGCCCACTTATCTAGAGCAGCAAATTGTTCAGTTAGACACCCAACAAACTCACGGCATTACCAAGCTATTCTCTCCCCAAACTACCCAATGCACTTTTCTAGCAGACTGGTAGCTGAGGCTCTGGGAACAGGGGATACATCTGTTCTATTTGCTTTTGTTATTTGCCATCTACTGGAGCAGCACAAACTATGGACCAGGCTGGGGCAGTTACTTGCGGAACAGAAGCCTGAGCGCACCTAGATGGCACCCAACTCAGGCTGCCTAGAAGCTGCAGTGGCGCGCTGCACCTGCACCACGCTTCAGTAACACACACCACTGGGTTTAGTGGGCTGCCTTGCACTAAAAGGAAGATTCACCACAGCATACTGTTTCGTTGAAATTTATTCTAGCCATGCAAAGCCTTCTAGCTATAGGACAAGAAATAGACTCTTTGCTATGCAAAAATGGAAA